TAGCAGTACGACTTCTCTCAGTTCCACCCCCAATTTTGAAGCAGAGCACTCCGACGGTCTCCCACCACTCTTCCCCAACCGCCAACCTCTCGAGAGAAATTTCGGATCGCCGCATATTTAGAGTTCCCCCATGCCGCTCGAACACTACACATTTACTAACATCCATGCCTTCTCTGAGATTGGAACCCGTGCCCTTTCAGAAAAACGAGCCATATAGATATATGAATTCGTCCTAAGTATTAACACTAAATTGTCGGAAGATCTAAAAAAGTAACGAAATTTAACAATGAATTTTAGGAAAGTTGTATTTCCATTTAACTTTGTTCGGACATTAAATTTCAATTTCTGCTATATGCTTGTTTTTTCGAGAAGCTTAATGCTTCCGTTCATGTATCTATGTTTCCTTTTCTCATTTAAATATTTTGTAAAAGACTCAAAATGGCCAATCGGAAGGTAGTTGCCATTCGCACTCCCCAAATACGACATCTTTCCATACAGTAATTCACATTGAAATTTTAGCTTTGTTTCCTAAATTGCTTTAACTTTATATACTTATAATGAATAATTATAAAAGTTTTCGTTTCGAAAGTAATTTTTTCGTTTCGAAAGTAATTTTTTAGTTTTGAATACAGTAATATTGAAGTAACACATTTGCATTAGGAATAAACTATTCCTTAATTAGTTCATGAACATTTAATTTCATCAACAATAATATGATCACGGAGAATTAAAATGGCATATTAGACAGTTAATTTATGGTCACGTTATGATTACGTCATTATTATCTGATTTGAGCGTAGCTGAATGTGTAAGAAAGTCATCGAGCGACAAAGAGGTATTCGAATTTCTCTGTCTAGCGGCATCTATATTTGGCATCCATATTTGATGGCATATCCATATTTGATGGCATCCATTGAGAAAAAGCTTCAAATTACATCATTAAAGACAATAAAGAGCAGACTGCCGTGTTGGCGTAGCAGCAAGGGATATGGCTTTCACAATCTGAGTTCAAATGGATATTTGTAAGTGTATAGTGTTTTGAAAAGTGGGTGTACGTTTTAAAGCATGTTAAAACCAAAAGTACTCTCGAGAAGTAACTGATAGTGTTGATTTTTCCGTTAAATCCTATATGATATATCTGACTTCGAATCTAAAATTTTCTGAAGAACACAAAAACCTTGTCTAAATCTTAAAGGTTTATTTAACTGGAACTTCAACACTGATGAAAACTTAACATCATAAACGAAAACTTAACATCTTGGGTGGAAAACATTCAAAGTGCTTTAAAGTAAAAGCTATGCCGGCACGGTGAAGAACACTTTCTTTTAAAAGACAGAATCCATCTAGCCCTTTCGGCATATATCTCCATTCGCTGGATTCAGACTTCCGCTCCTACGTGTTTTGGACTTAAACGGCCGGACTGGAACAGGACTGGATCAGGACCGGAACAGGACTGGAACCGGAACAGGACTGGATCCGGAATCTCTCATCCCCTGGCTTCTTCCCCCGGGCAGGTCCACTCTGGCTCGAACTAAAATGAACTGCGGGGCCACTAAGGAAAGCACCTCCTTTTATTGACGGCGGTTGCCGTTACTACAGGCGATTATGCAAATATTTAACAGATAGGGAAAGACCTTTGAATATTGAGGAAGCTTTGAAGGAGCTCTGTATCAAAATTCAAATAAATCTTCCCTTAAACTTACAACAGATGTAATTTTGCTGCTCCTTTTCTGTGGTGCATCTTGGGAAACTAAAGGTCGTAAACTGAGTCGCTAAATGATCGATAAGTTTGACCATTCCTTAGGAATGCTTATCTCGCAAACTGTGCAGCCACAGAGGGCAAAATAAATTTAAAAGCTATAGGGGAAGGTAGCCTTATTTGGACCGCTATGATGTACAAAGACTGATGATATCTGCGAGATTTGAGATAGGCATTTTGTTATACGTAGATGTAGAAGAGGTTAATGCAATTGTGTTTATAAAGAAACGTCTCGTGGTTACACTGAAAGATGTGCTATTCGTTTGGCTAAGAAAAGTATGTTATTTCGACATAAGTGTGAAAGCAGTTAATTCATCTAAACGTAAGTAATTACATGTCTTATTATACCATCACAAAACTTGCTTATTTATCTACCATTTGCAATTATAATTTTGCGAGGGTATGTTAGTTTGACGTTTCTCTACAATATAAAGCATTAAATATTCAAGTTTCCCAAGTTGGACCGAAAACAGTTGCCGAAATTGAACCGGTCCAATTTCAGCAACGACATTTTATTTTCATGGTTAAATTATAATTAATACTAGAATGCTACCCTTCGAAAAACTTATGGGAATTGCAACCATTCGTCTCCGAGACGAAGTATGCGTGAGCGTGCTTAAAACTTATTTGAAAAGTTAATTGCAGAAATATTGCAGAACCCCTGTTTCACCTTCTAGAAGTGATGATGGTGAAGATAGAAGTGATACTGAAAATAAACGATTTATGACAGTTCTTGAAAAAATATCACAGCGAGCAAAGAAAAATCCAAATCCAGTTGGCCTTTCATCCTCTCGCAGTATACCAATAGCCCAGAAAGCAGTGGCAATAACATGCAGCCCTTACAAATCGCGGTTATACCAAAACTTAAAAAAAAAATTATTTAACCAAAGTTTAACAAAATGCAGAAACATAAAAAAGAAACCGGTGATTCATGGTTTTGTATATTATGTGAAAAAACCAAGGAAGAAGAAATGATACAGTGCATGAAATGTCACGCTTGGATATATACTCGGTATGCTGGAGTTAGTGCTTCAATTAAAAGGTTCTGTTGTTTTAATTGCCTTTAAAAAAGCTCATGGTTCAATTTAGGAAACTAGTGGTCCAAATAAGGAAGCCGGTTTCCTAACATTGAACCAGATGACACGATTTTATTTAATTCCTTTTTCACCGTTATAAATAATTTTTTAAATTTAATAAATGATTCTATTTTGAAGGTACACTGAGTTAGTTTATTTTCTACTACTTAATTTTTATTGGCACTTCTTCCGTCTTTCTATATAGTGAAAAATACAAAATTGCTTCAAATTAGGCTACTCTGCCCTATTCATCTATGTGAAAATGCACTTTAGAAATGCAGTTAATAAGAGAAGGAATTAGGATTAATTAATATTTGTTTCGTATTGTATATTTATCATATGAATAGATTTTTCAATGCATTAAATTCGGAATAATTAGAATGGTAACTTGACAAATGTTTCTTTATCTAATTGAAATCTGAAATAAAATTTTGTTTTTTTATTGACGGAATACTATCGTAAACTGGAGAAGAAAAAATATCACATTGAGAAGAGTAATTTTTTTAAGTGTCTGATTAACATTTTTCTTTGACTTAAGATGTAACAAATGTAAGACCAATCCTAATTTTTTATACCGTCGATACAAAAAAACAAATCATTCAAACAAAAAACTCAATAAGCTAAAACTCTATATTCAAAATGCATTTTTTTATTTTAGCCAAACTTTGCTTTTGATTCATTTGAGTACAGTTTTATCAACAAATATGATATTGTCCACTTCCATTTGAATCAGCGTCTGAATCTTATACTTCTGAGTCGCAGGCAGGTATTTGCATCTTGGTGGATATTGGAATCTACCTTTGTTCAGAACGTAATTCCTCTGAGCTACCGATATCTAGATCTTAATCGCCGCCACCGATGCCTCACTTTAAGTCTGAATCTTCTGAGTTACCTGTAAGTCCTATCTGAAGCAACGACATTATTGATGGTGCAAGCTTTTAATTGAATGCTGCATTTTTCTTTCCGGATGCGCTCTAAAGCTGTGGATTGCCATAATACCATTTTTAATAATATTGCTATCTTTATTTTATTTCGGAGGGTTTTCAATAAGCAGTTAATGACATTTTTTCATTTAGTCTTTAAACTGATATAATGATATAAATGGAAGCTGAAATTCCGAAGGAAAGTAAGCCGTCGTGTGTTCGAATATACATCGTATGTATGCGAAGTTTGAAGAAGCTGGAAAAATTCTGAATTAGATTAAAAATTTTCGATAATAAATGCCTTTAATTTTCATCTATTTGGATCTCGTTTGACGAAATCAAACGTTATGAAGATAAGCAACATTAATAACCGATTATAACCTAGTATAATCATATGTAATAAGATTGTAATGTAATTAATTATAATTATCCATAGTAATTCGATGTAGAAATTAATTGGTACTGTGTTATATAATAAACTATAAAACAGTATACTATGATATTATCTTAGGCTATTTCACAGTCGAATGCTGAAAGCAATTAAGTAACAGCATTTTTCTGAGTTATTATAAATTTGTAACCTTGGATTTGAAGAGAGTTTCCTTTTTAATGGAAGATTTTTATTATATTTTATCACTTCGCCAAGTTCCACTTAGGTTTTACCATTTAAGTTCAAGATTTTTTACAATAAAATTTCAGTGGAAATAATTAATTTGAACATGCCTCTGCTTAATTGTAATTATTTTTAATATATTTATTTTATTTGTTTTGATAATTACTCAGATTTTAAACATAGCGTTGGTTGTATAACACTTTTTCTTAACATGGGCAGTTATTCATCAAAGAACTGTACAACGTAAAATTCTCTTCATGTTAGTTATCAAAATTATCTGCTATCGAAATAAAATTTTACTAGAAGGTTTTTTTTTTTGGTCAAATGTGTGCACTATGCACATTAAGTAATGCTTATTAAAATAAGTATTACTTAATGTGCATGGCATAAATATTACTTAATGGCCTTTCAGTACCTCAGTGTCCGCGATTCTTTATCTTTTTCCTGTTTATATGGAATAAAAACGTTAAAATTAATCAACAAATCACATACATAACTTTTTACCTGATGTTATGTATTTTAAGATAACTAATAAATTAAATTTTTAGTCTTTATTTCATTCGTCCCACTTTAGATCAAGTAATTATTTACTATTTCATATGAGATTATTTCGTAGAATACATTCTTACCTCAATGTCTCCGACCCGTTTTGATATTTATGAGATAAAGGATATTAAGGTGAAACAACAAGTAAATATCTTTGCAGCCAATATTTTTAATCATAGAAATTATAAACCAGAGAAATCCTTCAACTGATAGAGCAAATTTTTCAAACTAATTTAAAGGAGTCGTGAAGCTCATATCAGTGATGCATACCCAGCTGCAGCTTATCTTCAGCGTTTGGATACGTGAGATGATATTGCAGATCTATCCTCCAAATCCAAAGCTGAATTGACCTCCAATATTGAACTGTGGAAGTCCTCCCATTCCTTGTCCCATTGTATTATCTCCCATGTCATACTGTGGAAGTGCCACAGCAATGCAGAGGAAAACTCCTAAGCAAAGAAAAAAGCCAGCGAGCTGTGGAAAGAATAAAAGATGCAAAATCAAAACGTTAAACAAAGATAGAAATGGTAAAGAAAAAGAATTCTTCCATTGAGATAAAAATTGCACTTAACTATTTAAATTTATGTGTATTTCCAGAATCGCATTTATATACTCTTGTAACCCTTAAAACTGCAATACAATGAATGAAGAAGCTAAACAAACCTAAAATTTGCACGAAACGTAGAAGACGTTGCCTGTCCAAATTATTAGCATTTAAGGTCATGCGTATATTAAAGGCAAGACTAATGACACCTTGAAGCAGAACCAAAACGGCAAACTAAAATTCCGATTATTCTTTCGAAACTTGCGTTTACTTATTGTTCTCTGCGATGGAATTCGAGTTATGCTTCGCATAAGAAGGAACTTATATCAGCACATGTCGGATTTTAATCGAGGGAGACTGGTCCTTCCTGGGCTGTGGACTTTTGTACAACATAGCTAATGCTGCCACTGATCTAGATTCAATGAATGTTATAAGAAATTGAAGTTGATGGCTTTGAAAATCCCACAGAGAGATATGTGAACTCTCAGCGTCCCCTGTTCATCAGTTGCTGAGGTGACAGACATCTTGTTCTCAACCTCTTAAGCTTCGTTCAGACGATGGTTATGTCGTCGTAAAGGGTTTTTATTGAGGCCACTAACCACTAATCTCGATTTTAGACTTTGTCCGCTACTAAGGCCAGAAGCGGTAGTCATTTTGCTATGGAGTCACTCAGAAGGTTGCCCCGTTACCTCCTATGAAAGGACATAGTTTATATTCCTGCCTTCCCCAAGACTCGAATTAGGGCCCTTTGATAGGGTAGTCAGAATCACTAATTCCCTTCTGGCCGGCGTAGTCCCAAAGTTTTGTGATTTAGAGCATAAGTCCATTCACGATTGTTAACAGGGTTTAAGGCACAGCCAGTCAAGGAAGGGAAATTTGCGCATGCGTAAATGTATAACTGAGCGAAACTGATGCTAGCTTTGCTGTTATTGGTTGGGTTTTATTTTAAGTTGAAAAATTAGAACATTTAGGCAAAATCCTTAAACCAGGTTTTTTTTTTGCTGATGTAGTAAGGTCTGGTTACCTAGCAATGAAGCTCAACTTAGACCACTTATGGTTTTTAAACCGCCGTGTCAATGAAGCTTTAGCGATCGTACAACCACATCATATATACCCTTGGATTAGGAACTTGACTGTGTTGCAACGCCACGGATATCCAGTCAGCAAGGCGAAAATTATATCAACTTTCCTTGATGCTAAGGTGTAGGAATCATTACTTTAAATGGACGTTTGAAGATGCACATGGGTGCATCAGTAAGATAACTTCTTTTTTGTGACGATCTCGCTTCTGTTTTGAGATCATATGATGGCATTGTTCGCCAATTCAGGCACCCAAGTGAACGAGCATTGGAAGTTTGCATTCTTCATCATCATATTGGCTCATAATGCTTCAGTTCTTATATCCGATATTTGATTAGCCAAATTAACTCTATTGAGATTTAATTCTGTGGCAATGGTACACTTTTTGAGCCACCCGTTTGCGCCACATTTTAGCCAGATGATAACGAAATCTGCATGTTTTTCTATATTGTCGTTTCTTCCACAATGGACAGAATGTTCGATTCCCGCTTGATCGACTCGTTCTTCAGAATGTTTTTTAGTAAAAACTCTGCTCATCTGGTTAGCGATTGCAAAACGTCTGGCAAAATAAGTCTAGGCAGACAATTTAACAAATTAACTCTGGTCTAGAACTGAAGCTGTACGGAATGTAGTGTCTGTATCAGCTATATAAAATCTGTTCAACTCTATACCCAGCCACCTCTCTGTTTTTTCCCAAAGATGGTTGTTCGGGACACCAATTTTTGTATGTCCTCTACCTCAAAATGTTTTTTAGTTTAGTTTATTTATCTTGTCGTTAAAGTGTATTTGAAATATGAGAATCTACTAATTGCTTTCCCTCATGGTATAGCAAATTTAATGGCCATCAGTGTATACTATTAAAATATCTGATTGCATTTACAGCTATACGTTGACATTAAAATACTTTAATGGACTTTAATTTAGATTACCCTTATTTTCTATATAATATATATAGTACTAAATAAAATCATGTAGAATTTAAATCTTCTCAAAACATCCGTAAGCATTTTAACAGCAACAGCAGTTTTTATTTTCGCTTATTTATGCACACTGAGCTAAAATATTGTTAATCATAAGTATTATTAAAACTTATTATCAATTGCAACAGTATTTCAGTAGCCATATCATATATCTCCACAAAATAATGACTCCGTAAATGCGGTTAATACCTTTCGGAGTTTGTCTCGGATTTGTAAATGTACCGATAATATTGTACTTCAGACAAACATTACTATTTAAAGATAGTCACATCGCATACATAATTATGGTTAATTAATAAATTACATTCAAAAAACTGTTACCAGAATTAAATAAAATAATTCTAAACGGCATGCACTGTATTGTGTGCGAATAAATGAAATAATTCAAAGTGTTATTGTACTCTATTTCTCCCTTCCTGCCTAAAATATACATTTGTCTTACGTTTCGCTCAAATCTGTAAGAGTTCTATGAATGTACATTGAATTAATAGAATAAAAATAAGAATTAATATTTATCTTAATACTAACTGTGCACTGAAACTAACGAACATCGAACATAGGATTGTTGTACTACACTAACGAAACAAATCCCTGCACCAAGAAGGAGTTGTATTAAATAAACGAAATTTATTAGGTGTGCTTATACATCTGGAAGATGATGTCTATTCAAGTTTAGCGCTAGGCTCATAAATGTGAAGCTAGAAGCTTACTATGAACATGTAATTCAGGTTAACGGTAATACTGTACCGGTACAATACGGTAAATACGAACTGTAAAGTTCATGAGCGTTATATATCGGTGAAATTTGACGTAGTGAGTTGATGTTAGTCATGAATGCATTTCAGTACAAGAAGAGGCTATAATCAAAAGCTCAGTGAAATTGAAAGAGATCATGTAATAGGCCTACGAGAAGGTTGATCTTCTTTCCGCAAAATTTCAGAAAGGCTTGACAGGAATGTATCCATTGTGCATTATTCTTGGCAGCAGTGGTCAAGGGAAGGTACTGGCTCAAGAAGATCGGCCACGTGACACTACTGAGAAAGAAGACCGACGTGTTCGACGTGTGACTATTGTGCATCGTACTGCGTCTGCAGCAGAATGTCGAGCTGCATTTGCCACCACAGTGACACAACGAACTGTTACAAATCGGTTCCTTGAAGGACAGCTTCGAGCCAGATGCCCTGTAGTGTGCATTCTCAGTGACTCCAAACCATTGTCGTTTGCAATATCAATGGTGTCAAGTTATAGCTCGTTTTAGAACGGACTGAAGATCTGTTGCGTTTCCTGATGAAAGTCGGCTCTACCTTGGCGCCAGTGATGGTCATGCGCTTGTTAGAAGTAGGACAGTGAACGTCTGCAACTACTGTGTCTGGGGCCTAGACACACTGGACCTACACCTGAAATTATGATCTGGGAAGTAGTTTCGTGTGACAGCAGGAGCGCACTCGTAGTTATCCCACGCACTGTAATTATATATAGTTTAACATAGTATGTTTTCTAAATGCTACCCCTGAATATAAACGGTTATCTCTTTTTAGTTGCAGATCATTTATATCCTTATGTAATACTATCTTTGGAGAGCCAATGGATACTTCATTGCAATAAACTGTACCATTTGGCGGACTAGAACTACCTTTAGGCTGGCTGCTTGATTCTAAGGCTCTAACCTAACCGAATACCTAAAGGAGTAACTGAAACAAACATAAAAGGAGTCTATATTCTCAATAAATCTGCAAAATATCCAAGATGAACTGCTACCTGCATGACCTGAGGTATTTGTTAAAACATTCTGCCAAATTATTAAATCTTTATTATATCTGCTATTATGATAATATGTTGCATGTCATATTTAACTATTAGTGGCAATTCATGATTACATTTTTTTATGTCATATCTGAAAGCTGTAAGCAAAATGGTTTAGTTATTTGATTACGGGAAAGCACAAGAGGGCAATCTACTCGAGGGATGGAATACCTTCGTGGAGAACGTTCTAAAGGAAACTGACGTTAACATATTGAAATCCACGAAACCACGCTCATGTATCCAGGAGTTCGCCTGGGAACTCCTGACTGAACTACAGTGTTTAGCGACTGTACCACTCGGCCGCTAGTTTTAAGCAAAATGCTGACCTCGGAATTAGAAGAATCATTGCTAAATAATTGTCGTTTTTAATTATCTCTCAAACTTTCAATAATACTCAGATTCACAGAGTGGCAAAATGAAACAGAAATGTTTTGTCATTTCTCACGGGAAATAAGATTGTTCATAATTTATCTGTTATACAAACGGCTGCTTCTATTTTGTGTACTAAATATTTGTAGTTTTTCTGAGTTTCGAAACCGGACGAACGGATTGGCTACAGGGTTGGCTTTCGATGTTTTTCTTATCCGTAACATGAATACAAGCAAGTTTGTCTTAGAAAATCCTAGACTAAGATAACCTCTGCTTAGGCAGACAGCCCTCATGTACTTTTTTAGATTCAAATAATTAAATTGCTTCAATACCGGGATTTTCTTTTTATTATTAGTGACAGAATTATAATTTTGTTAGTATGACTGCATTCGTCAGTTGACTTCTAGAGAAGAAATGAAATAAGGATGCCTTCTCCGGAATTCGAAAATCCGGACCTATCGGGACGGCAGCAGGCGTCACTAACCACATACTGTCTGGGCGACTATTATTTAAATAGCACTATTCCATATAAGTTTAATATTTATATATACCACAAATAGAAATATTTGTTTTGTAATGGCAGTAATACAACAAAGCATGACACAAGACCAGCCTTTAACAGTGATATTTGTTGAGAATAAATTCGAAAAGACCTACTAATTTTTTAATCATTTAAAGTAGCAAAGAAACGTGAATATTGGAGAGCATTAAAAATAAAGTAAATATTCATATAATAACTAATTGTATATTATATATGAAAGGTATTGTTCCAAAGATCTGTAAAGCTTGAAAAAAATCTGTTTTAACTTACATGATCAGCTTAAACATTTTGTATCCTTAAGTGAACTATCATTCATATAATACTAAAAATATATCATCATATTATGTAACTTGTCATCATCCTAAACATATCATCCTAAAAATATAACTTCTTGATAACAGAATGTAGTGAAAGATCATAAGATGCAGGTAAAACAAAACGAAGGTATCAAAGGAAGATAAACCTGCTTTAAATATTGTAATATCATATGTTTTTTATTACCGAGACGCAGAAACACTGTGGCAAAATATAAACTAAGTCGGTCTTTATAAATGTTCAGAACTCGTTTTTTCCTCGTATCCGAGAAAATCTTTCGCACTGCACAAGAAATTTCGCCTTAAAAAAAAACTACCTATAAAATATTTTGTATTCCAATTGTATATTTTAATACATAGAAACAAACTTAATAATCAAAATAATTCAATGAGATTATATAATACAGGAACATTAAAGTTACATAATAGTGCAGAACGTAATAAAACACAGTACTGAACAAGAAACAATACTAATAATATGTACTGAACAAGACCCCCCCCCAACTAATATATAGTCTTTCCGAAAAGGTGACATAAAATAATGAAGACGAAAATACTTATTGTTTCTAATATCATTTTCCAGTTGAAGGATATTGCAGTCGATAATCGCTATAAAGATCACTCATTTTAGAGAATATTGCGGTTATAAAAATTGTTGCAAAATTCTTCCATTTATGAAAGTATATTAAATGCATTTTCATTGCAGTAATATAACGTTCTTTTTATAACGTTTATTATTTATTATGATGCAAAACTTCCTTGTAGTATACACCAACAATTTAAATGTTGTTCGTTTCAGCAACGTTCTGCATGCGGTATTTTTTTGAAAAACGTAAGGTGAAGAGGAAAAAAATACAAATTTCGTTCATTCAAATTTTGTAAAGACAAATTTATATCAGTTTCATACCGGTATTCCAATTGAATTATTCTCCATGTTGAATAATAAGCAAAACTTGTAAGGATCTTAAGTTTTACTAACGTTTATTTTATTTTAAATCTTTAATATTACTTCTTATTTTCTACTTCCGGCCAGAATTAAAAGCTTTAACTTATTTATGCAAATTTGTCTGGCGAACGCCAAGTACTTAAGTTGTGGCTTTTTGCCAAGCGAGAGAGAGGAAGGAGGTAGTAGAAGCAGGCCGCTTGCCTTAGCAGTTTTACTCGGTTGCTGGTTGCCTTCCAGGCCAGAGGTTTAATCCTCTTGATAATTTTTAAACGTATTGTAGTGTTAACAGTTCTCTGTACTACATACGGCTTCCTGTTAATATAGGCCAATCTTCCACGTAGGCCCTTGTTATTATTCCAAAGTTAAGTTAGAGTTTAGTTATATTTTTATATTCTTACGTTCAGACCCACAGTGGTTGGTCTCTATATTCCGAAGTACGAAGTTCATTGTAAAGAGTGAAAAATAAAGGGTTTGTATACCCTTCCTGTGTATCTTGTCTACTTCCCACATTTATTGAACATAGCTTTAGTAAGCTCCCTGTTCCGAGTCAGGTTCTTGAATGTTCCCCAAGCAAGTAAGGCGGAACATTGAACCTGATAAACTGAACAGTGACGGAAGTTTACACAGGAATTTCTTTTAATGAATTCTGTCGAAAATGTAGCAACATATCACATGTCATTAATAAAATAATTCATTAGCAGTTAGTAAAGTAGATGCGGTTGAATGTTGGAAGGAGCTAAGCTCCTTTATTAAATTATTCACGGAGACATTCTGCATTACAGGTTTGCCAATTAATAATTAATTTTGGCTTAAAAATTATAATATTGAGTTATACGAATAACCATATTACCTTGATGTACATCCTTGTATCGTTTAAATGCAGTCAGCCACGTAGCCTGGCAAAATAACTTGTAAACTCTTTGTGAGTAATAGTTATCTGTGGTAGATGTAAGTGAAAGCAAGAGAAGTAGCTTTATTTACCTTCGTTTTATTTTATGGAGCAGGTGAAACAGCACTAGAATGTATTTCATTTTAACATGAAACACCATATCTAGCCAATGCAATGGAGTTAGAAAAATAATGGCCTGTTCTGTTTGTTTTTCACACTTTTCTAGAAAATTCTGGTTCAGATATTTACCTTTAGTTCGTTGGAGCAATAACTTACATCCTTCGCCCGTGCTTCCAAACTTCATCGTTTACTTTTAGCCATGTGCTTAACGAGCAAGTATCCACTCGTTGGGAAAGGGAAAAAATTTCTAGCACGTACTTGATCTTGTTCTGTTAGTCTTAGGCGAGTTCATCCTTTTACGTGTTTCCGATTTTGTTATTTTCTTTATTATCCCTGAGATTTTCCAATTAATAAAATGAAAGATATTTATTTTTACTTTCATGTACAAAGTAAAGAAAGTATTGAAATTGCAAAAAAATTCAGGTATCATATTTCAAAGAAAATATGCATGTTGACTGCTCTCGAATGCAATTGAACGATTTTTTTCTTGATATCACTACGTATGGACAGAATAAAGGATTCTAAAATGGATTCACAGGAAAATTTGCTTTATTGCATTATATATATGTGATGTACCAGCTTTAGTCGTAGCTTAAATTATCAGACGATAAGTTTAAAAAAACAGGATCCATTTATTATTATTCAGAAGAAATAGCAGTTACAAAATCAGATATCAGGAGTAAATAAAAAGAATTACTAATAACTTTTTGTATGAAGTTTAATGCATCGTTGCATTAAAGGAAAAGCCTCGATATTCTTTTACGAGTCTTTTTATCTGGAAAGGCGGAGTTTCCAAGAAATGACGTCAGCCTCGTCAGCCAATCCAGTTCGCTTGAAATATTTCCAGAACATTCTATAACTGTACGTCTAGAAAATGCGGGAAAAACAACTTGACTACGGGGCTGTCGATATAATTCCACGTACATTCAAATAAGAGACCGTCGCCATTAAATATGAAAAGAACATACAGTTAGAATTTTAAGTGTATTTTTAACTATGGAATTTTATTATTACAGATAATATATATATATACAGTGGTGGCCAAAATTGTGGACACTTTTGGAAATTTTTATGTTTTTGAAATTTGTATGCTTATAGAAAATGTTACGTTTCGCAAAATGCAAACTTGTATATATCATTTTAAAGAGAATTTATTACTGAATGCAATACAAAACACAAAATTTAATTATTTGCAATACAAAGAAAGTTAAACAATAAGAGTTATCGATATACATTTGATAGTGATGATTGCAGTGAGTTATCAGTACTTAATAATGCACCCTTTACTTTTGATTAGACCTTCACATCGACGTTCCATTGAGCTGACAAGAGTTTTAAACTCTTCTTTCGTTATTACATGATGCCAGGAATCAATTATAGCCTCAATTAGTTCCCCTTTATTTGATGGGCGCCTCGTTCGGACAAGAGTTTTCAAACGGTGCCACAAATTTTCGATAGGATTGAGGTCAGGATTGTTTCCATTACAACAAATTAATGCTCTTTGTACGAAACCACTCTTTCGATATTTGGCCGTGTGGCAAGGAGCAGAATGCTGCGGAAAAATAAACGAAGCATGTTGGGAAAGAGATCTCTGATGGCGCTAGAAGTTTTGGTTCTAGAATAGTGTCAATGTATTTTCTGGCATTCAGTGTCCCATCGATGACATGAAGGCGACAATATCATCTGCTGACATGCAGGACCAAATCATAACACTAACTGGGTCTTCACAGTGGCTTGGATGCAGTCAGGATGTAGCTCTTCTCCTTTACGTCTTACATATTTTCGCCCATCACTACCGAATAACGATTCTTAGTTCATCACTCCATATAACTTGTAACCACAGATCATCTGTCCCATTAATGGTTCCTTTGCCCACTGTAGTCTTTGTTTCGTTGCTGAAAATTAAGATAAGGCTTTTTTCGTGGAATTCTACCTCTCAGTCCAACATCTGTTCCTCTTCTCCTGATCGTTCGTGAACTGACAGAAACACCATTCAGATCACTTCTGATGGCCGCTGATGACATTTTTCTATCTTGGAGACATAGTCTTTTAATTCTTCTGTCATCAATAGATGTGGTGCACCTTTTTCGGCCTTTTTCTTCTTTGTTTTTTATTGAATTTCTCTCCTGATATCGTGAACAACATTTTGGGGCTCCAGATGTAGTCACTGAACCACCCACCTGTCTTGCAGTTTCAGCATAGGAAAGACCGCGTTCTCGTAACACAATAATATTACATCTCTTTCTAGGTAATCTACTCTTTTATTTGATGTCATTGCTTCTTGACTGAATATTAAAAATTTTTACAAAAATTCCTACTTGTAATTGCAGTGTATAAGAAAGAGGTTCTCCTTCTACAGAACAAAGCAAAATAATGAATTGTTTCCAGTGTAAACATGATGTCAGCTTATACTGGCAGTTACTAACGTTTGATTGGTTCTCATAACAAGAACAGTGATTAGCCAGGAAAGCTAGACATTACAAACCGCTTCATAACTGTGTTTTTTATTTATATTAAAGTACATATAACTTTTTTTTTGTATTTCAAATAATTGAATTTTGTGTTTTGTATTGAATTCAGTAATAAATTCTCTTTAAATGGATATATACAAGTTTGCATTTTGCGAAACGTAACATTTTCTATAAGCATACAAAGTTCAAAAACATAAAAATTTCCAAAGATGTCCACAATTTTGGCCACCACTGTATATGCATACAACAAAGGCAAATTTCTGAGACGTATTGATGTAGGAACACTGAGACATAGACAATTCATACTTAGAACGGAGAATTCCTAATTGCTAAGAAACTTGGCACTCGAGGCAGTTTTAATTACATTTTTATTTAAATTGATATTTGAGGCCACAGTTCACTTCGCACTCTAATCTTGCCTATTTTCAGAACATTTACATTTTTGATGCTGTTGTGACAGGAAGTGATATATATATATATATATATATATATATATACAATAAAAGCAAATTTCAGAGAAGTATTGATGTAAGAACACTTAGACACTTCATACTTAGAATGGAGCATTCATAATGATTAAGAAACTTGACAGTCGAGGCAGTTTTAGCTCCATTTTTATATAAATGGACATTTGTGGCCACAGTGTCTACTTCCAGAACATTTACATTTTTGATACTGTTGTGATAGGAAGCGAGCACAGTCAAATTACGTCCAAGCAGCATAGAGAGCGAAGCTAAAGTGCGTAGTTATCCAATATGGAAGCTCACGAAGAGGAAGGTCTTGGTTTGAGTTAGAAAGGTTTCAGTTCTCAGAGTTTATGTTCTCAATTACTACGTCATCAGCGTTACTCATACTTCGGGACATAAATTAATCTAGAAATGAAGCAGTCCAGAAGTATTATTATATTTAGAGTGAAGACGGGTGTTAAAGAGTTATTACTAATTTATTATTTGGAAGGTAGATATCCTATATTTTACATATATATATATATATATATATATATATATCGTGTTACCTGGCTCGGCGAGCTCCTTTTTTTAATTATTAAATTTATATGTTGATAAGTTGTGCATTTTTGTATTAAAATAATTTAACTATGTAGCTTTCATATTCGGGTTAAGGTTTTTATGGCTTTAGTTAATCTGCGTGCAGTAATTGTAGACTTATCAACAATTTAAAAGTAAAAGCGCGCTAGACCTAACGAGGCAGTCATTTGTTTACATTTGAAACTCTGAATAGAATAGTGAATATCCTTTGCAAACTTCAATATCATTTTCCAAGGTGAGACCAAAAATTAAATTTTGATCTAAGCACCGAACATTTTGTCTTTCTGCCCGCTGAGCGAATTGTTTGTTGCATTGCAGAAACTCTAATTTTAATTGTAACAGTTGTTTTGATTTTAAGGTGTTTTTAACAGTATTTGGTGTTATAGGTTTTTCTCCATTTTACAATTTGTAATGATGATCTTTGGAGTTTTTACATAAAACTTTCTCCGAAGTGAGAAGAGAATTGACTGAATGAGAACATATGTCTAATGAAATTATAGAAAAAAAATCAGATGAAAGGCAGCAGAAAATGTGTATAATGTGACAGACCGTACAAGAAAGTCATGTAGCGTCCACATCACACATTTGTTTTTTCAGAAACCTGAAATAGTGTTTATAGTATTTTTATTCCACGACCCAAACAAATGTACTGTGGAAATGCGACTTTGATTAATTAGAAGCACAAGTTATAAGGTATTTCTCCCACTTCCTTAGCGTGCCTTCGTGGTGTAACGGTAGCACGCTGGGCCGGTATTCCAGATGTCCGTGGTTCGATTCCCGGGAAAGGCGGTTGCATATTTTTCATCTTTTCTGCCTCTAAAAAAATTCTAATGACTTTACAAGTGGCGCCCGAACTAAAAGGGTTGTGGATGATGATTCTCCGCACCCAGGATTTGGCGACTAGGTCCCCTAAAACTCGAGTCGCCCTTTAGAAAGGGGAGTATATAAGGTATTTCTCCCATTTCCCTAGCGTGCCTTCGTGGCGTAACGGTAGCACGCTGGGCCGGTATTCCAGAGGTCCGTGGTTCGATTCCCGGCGAAGGCGGTTGCATATTTTTCATCTCTTCTGCTTCCAATTAACCTAATGACTCTACAAAGTTAATTAATTATTCCTCAAAGTTACGTTCGCGTCATTCGAATTTCAAACCCTTTTCAGATGGCCACCAAGATTGCCTTAACATTAAGCGATATGCGATATCCCAGTTAATTAATGAATATGTAAATAAGTCAATGGACTTTGTGTTACTAAATATGCACACCTATAAGTTTCTGTCAAATGTTTCAGAAAAACGTCACTTTCAGAGTTTTTGTTGAATTAGTTACTGACAAATTATCATGCATGATTTAAAGCGTTCAACAATATCTTGTTCCTGCAGTGGTGTTCATGCCGATGTCCATCATATGTCTCTAGTATGCCCAAGTACATCGGCACAGAGAAGAAAATACTTATACACGTATAACAGAAGTATAAGTTTTATAACATGGTTACTACGTAAAATGGTCAGCTTTCGCTTGCTATATATATGGAAGACATTTATCAAAATGAAATTTATGAAAACGAAAACTCATTTTATACTGTTTCTTGATTACTGTGCATCTTATTTTGCACATAATTATAATTCTCGTTTTGTACTCGTATGTGCAAAATTCGCATTTCTCATTTTGTACTTCTGTTATTTGCAGTCACATGTATGTTTATATTCTTGTATCGTTCTGTTTCTCACAATTCTTCTTAGTATTGTTAATTGTATTAATAAATAAGTTGGTGAAGCCAACACATCTGTCCAGTCGGATTTATTTATTCCAAATTTATGCGGCCAGTATTAATGATGTGTATTAAAAACTTAACTTTTCTTTAGCCCCTTGGCTTTCGGTGGTACCTCTACTTTTTGAGGTGAGGATTGAATTTTCCATTTCTTTGTTGTTGTTAAATATATAGAATAGTTTTAATGGCATACGTCAGTGATTGTGAGGATGATGATGGAAAAATACATCATCCTCACAATGAACTAAATTGAAAAGAGCATTATTTCCCTCATAAAACAGGTTGTACTGGAAAAAGGAGTCGCGACTGAAAAAATGTTTAAGAAACCCTGCTATATTGCATATATATATAGAGAGAGTGTTTCAGAAATTCGGTTACCACATTCAATTTACAACCCCAGACTGGGATGTGGACCTCGCATCACTCTCGCATGGAAGATCAGATGTTCTGGAAAGTACCTGCTGTGTCCCGAACTTCCCCACCAGCTGCCGCGTAGGGTTAACAACTTCCTGATCGTTGTTAACCAGGGTTTCCTGCACCAGTGTCTTGATGTACCTCCCCCCTCCCCCCGATAAAGAAAGTAGTCAATGCATGTGAGGCCTGGCTATTTCGCTAGCCAGCGCACCGACCCATTCCTGACAGTCTAATGTTAAGGGTACGTTGCATTCAATCATGTTAATTCATCATTCATGCTAAGGATACGTTCACTAAGGAACAATGCACTGCTTAAAGGATGAGGGAAGTATAGTAACGAAAAAATTATTCCGACGCATACAGAGTGAAAGGAAATCATGCTCTGACTAAACTTTTCTCTCCAACATTTTAATACTCCTGTACACACTAAGCCATTTACATCCTGACAAGAAAATGCGAGGGGAGTAAAAGAAGGCTGGGGTCCACCAGCGGCTGAGCGGTGAAGTCGCTGAACATCGGTAGTTCGGTTCGAGGTTCAAATCCCGTGAACCAGCTGGGTGCATGGGCGTTTTCATCGTTTTCTCTATGTGTATCGCGTATACAAGCCAGTTTTCATTAGAAAGTCCTCCACGAAGGCATCGTTCCCCCTTAGGCAGATAGCCCTTGAAACTTTGCCGTAATCATAAAACCAGACCAAGCGAAAGCTGGAAAGGCTCACAAATTAAAATAACTATAAATAAAAATAAAGTAAACCCTATAGCGCAAATAAAAGTACATCAGATTAGTATTAGGTTCTTAGTATTAGATATTAGGTACGAGCGTCTCTGAGCAGACTGTTAAGAAAACTTCTGGTCAGTGGAAATGAAATCTAATTCAGCGAATTTTATAGAATTTGGGCCCACCAGCGGTCGAGCGGTAAAGACGCTGAATACTGGTAGTTTGGTCCGAGGTTTGAATCCCGCGAACGGGCTGGCTGCATGGGCGTTTTCGTGGTTTTCCCCATGTGTAACGTGTATACGAGCCAGTTTCCCTTAGAAAGTCCTCCACGAAGGCATCCCTCCCTTCAAACAGATAGCCTTCGTGTGCTGTGCATAATTGAATAATCCAATCCAATCCAATTCTTACAGAATTTGCGTTCTAGAAAACACTGGCAGGTTTCACGAATTGGCCCATAACCAACTAGTATCATTCTTGCATAAATGAAAAATTTAAAATTTTTCTGTTGTAATACCTTTTGTATGATTATTGTACTGTAATAGAACTTCATGATAATAATTATAAGTCATTTTTAGCGTTCAAAAACTTGTATGCGTAACTTGATGAAATTTATTTCAGTATACCAATAGCGCAAATAAATAAATAAATAAATAAATTAAAGAATGTTACGCACAAAAGAATTCGAATTATTCTAATGTATACATTAGGAAGTTCTCAGAGCAAACTGAAAATGGCGTGAAATATTCAAAATTTTAAAATAAGTATCTCAGACAGCATTTCTCGTATAGGGCTCAAAATTAGGTCTCTTAGTAAGAGTATCAAACCTAATCTCTGTTTTTTTTTTTTTTTTTTCGAGGAGGAAAAGACAATACCGCATTTATGTATTTATTACTTCCTACGAAATTGCGGTGTTATTTACCGTGTTTTGAATTTTTTTCAGTGTGGCTGCAATGATATAAAATAATTTTATAAAGCAAGTATATGTGTAGTAAGCCTATTAAGGTAATTTCTTTAGCAAAAAAATTTAAAAATCGGTAATTTTATCGTTTTTGCTGTACCAACTTCCGTTGATAGTCTTCGCTTCCTTTCTTATAAAAGCATTTAAAGAACATTTAAATTCAAGAACAATATTTATCCTCTCGACCAATAACTACTAAATAATTTTTTCAAATCCTTAAATTGACTAAATATCTATCATAACGACAGGTTAAAAATAGAACACAAATAATCAGTTAACTAAATATAAACTACAGGGAACTAAATTTCAACAACCTCACGGTTTATTCAAGCAAACTTACTATATTACTTCATAAAAATTCAAACATATATCACATTTATGTACTTTTAAATGCATAAGTCTTGGTCATAATTAGGTTTGTTTTCTTCTTCCGTAGTCAAATTATTTTCTTCCAAAGTCAAAACCACCTCCGAAACCACCTCCATAATTATCATCTTGAGGAAGTGACGCAGCAATGGAGAGAAGAATCGCTAGGCAGATGACGACACCAACAATCTTTAAAATAGAGAAATACATAGTCATAAATTAAAAATAAATTAAATTTTGTTAAAAATGAAAAATTCTTCAGTATTTTTTCCTTCCAGTAAAACACTGAAAATTATTAGAGTGGTGAAAATAAGATGTTTTAGTAGTTTCAAAAATCTGATATGTACACCACGTGACTTCCTTGTACTGAATAATAAATTATACGCATTTTTCCTGCATTTCACATTATTTCCCCGAATATCACTGGATATATATTTCTCGTTCAATTATTTCAGGTCCTCTTACCTCGCTGCAAGCCGAAAATACATAACTCAAAATATCTTCATTAAAAATTCAAAAATATCGGAAAACGTAAAACAACAAATACAGTTAAAACATACAAAAACAAGTTTTATAAATAAAATTACAGTTTCTACGCGAAAACAAGCAATTAGACCAACAGGCGAGAACACAGATTTTTCTTTGCACAAAATTAAAAGTTTCTTTTTGATCCCACTCCGCAAATTTACAATGAAGGTGCAGAAATCGAATTCACTATTTTGCTAAGTTTCAAATGTAAACAAGTATGGCTGTTATGGTAAACAAAAATTAAGCTTAGCCGTCTTTAAACAACTTTTAAATTACTGATAATTCTACAACTAATGCATGCAGATTAACTAAAGGCATAAAAGCTTGACCGGAAGATAGGAATAACATAATTCAATCATTTTTAAAGCAAATAATGCACCATTTACCAATATATAAGAATAAAAAATCGGACCTCAGCAAACTGAGTAGCAGAGAGGGTACATAAATATATATATATATATACTCTTGGTGCTTCTGATTGCAACCAAAATAGGAGGTGCACAACTAAATCATATATACAAAATTTAATTGTTCTGAGGGCCCACCAGCGGTCGAGTGGTAAAATCGCTGAAGACTGGTAGTTCTGTCCGAGGTTCGAATCCCGCGAACAGGCTGGCTACATGGGCGTTTTCGTGGTTTTTCCCCATGTGTAACGTGTATACGAGTCAGTTTCCCTTAGAAAGTCCTCCACGAAGGCATCCATCCCCTAGGTAGATAGCCCTAGTGTGCTTTGCCGTATTCTCCTTATACCTCACCACACTGTTGTGAGGCTACTCGTTTGTGAGGTATACGAGGTACACACATACGTACGTGCATACGTGCAGACGGCATGAAAATTTTTCTTTTGAATCCATTTTAAATCAGTTTTTTAATTCGCTTGGGGAAAAGGAGTCCTTTATCTTGTCCATACGTACAGATGTCATGCAAAAACGTTTGTAAATTATATTCGGTAGTGGTCAAAATGGATATTTTCGTTGAAATATGATACACGGAAGCATATTTCAGAAGTGCACATCTGTGTAGCCACCGAGGGAGTGGCTTCTAGGATGGACCAATGAGCATCCAGTAATATTTCTGTCATGTCACATGACCTTTTGTGTGCTTTAAGATTTAAGCAAGATGGTTGAAAATATTCTACCACGCAAATGTTTTGTACAAAATAATTAAAGAATCGTCGATTGGCCCACCAGCGGCAGAGCGGTGAAGACGCTGAACACTGGTAGTTCGGTCCGAGGTTCGAATCCCGCGAACGGGCTGGCTGCATGGGCGTTTTCGTGGTTTTCCCCGTGTGTAACGTGTATACGAGCCAGTTTTCCTTAGAAAGTCCTCCACGAAGGCATCCCTCCCTTTAGGCAGATAGCCCACGTGTGCTTTGCCATAATTAAATAATCCAATCCAATCCAATCCAATCCATCGTCGATTGCTTTTGAAATTTTTCCTTGCGAAGTTAGATCAAATATAGGAAATAATGAAGATTTCACTACCTGGGTGAAATAAATACAAACGCATGTTGGATACTTCCCAAAAATATCGATGTGAAATATCACTTAATAAATGGTAAATAAGATGAAGAAAGAAATATGTGACAAACATCCAAATGCAATCTTTACATAAAACTATGCGTATGAGAAAAATATTTACACCAATTATATATGTAAATAGAAGTCAACACTTTTTATTGTAGTCTATATGAAAAAAATGTTTTATAATAATAAACAATGCAGAATTTTATTCAAATTGAACTTTACTAATTTGCATTCGTTTACTTTTAGTGTATTAAATTTCAGGTTTAATAACTGCTCAATCTTTACTGTCTACGCAAGAAATTCTCATCAAACAAAGTAAATTTATCGTATTCAATTTATTCACATATAATTTTTAATGTTAACAATGGATATAATCAGATCATATATATTCTGAATCTTACACTTTAAAAATCAAAAGAATGCAAGCACTGAAAAAAGAAAACACTAGATTCATTGTAACACTTTCAGTCGCTCTCAGCTCAATTAAAAAAAATATACTCTTGAATTCTCTTAATCCACATAATACTATGCCGCGAACATCAATCCTAATATTAATGCGTGATAAAAATCGCGAAAGTGAAATGTCAGCGATTAATCAAACTCAGAAAACGAAGCACTACGAGATTTTCTACTGTTACGTCATAAAAACAAATGCAAAACAAAAACAAAACGTAAACAACATATGCTCACATGCACGAAGATTTAGCGTCACAAGAGCAATAGCAGCTCATTGATTCATTTTCGAAACCTCTCCCTCAGTGGCTACGATGATGTGCACTTGTGAAATATGCCGGAAATTTTCGTGATTACAATACTTATTTTATTTCGGACAAGGAAATGAAAATCAGCACTTTCTGCGCATTTTTAGTGTGATAAGCAAGCGTATTTAAATCATTTTAAAATTAATCCATCAAAATGAAATATCTGGATGTGATCATCCCATGACTTTCTTCTACGGCCTATCAAATTATACAAATTTTATGCTGCACTTCATTTAAACTTGTTTCCTGGAATTTCATTAGAGATAAGTTTCTCATTCAATCAGTCCAGTTCTCATTTCGAGGCAAGGCAAAATACATAAAAACATAAAGAATCTTCATTAAAAATTGCAAAATGCAGAAAAGAACAGTATACCAAATACCGTTAATTTTTTTTTTTTAATTAAAATCTAAGTTTGTACGCGAAAACAGGCTGTGCGGCCAACGGGCAAAGAGACCACATTTCCGATGCACACAATTGAAAGTTATTTTTTGGCCCCTGCTGGAAAAAAAAACAAACATTGAAGTTGATGCAACAGACTATTTAATTCACTATTCTACTAAATGTTTCAAATGTAAACAAATGGCTGCCTATCGACACTTAAATTTTTAAATTCTTGATAATTCTACAACTACTGCATGTATATTAACTAAAGGGATAAAAATTTAACTGGAACATAAGAACAAAATGAAACCACTTTTAAGGTCAGAAAATACACAATTTATTAACATTTAAGAATAAACAAACCGAGCTCACCGAACCGGTTGGTTATGGTAATATATACATAATATTTATGTTTAGTTCAGCCGATTGCAACGAAAAAAGGAGGTGCACAACTACATGTCACAGCAGTCTCATATAATAAATTTCAACGTTTCTACGGCAACTCGTTTTTGAGTAACACAAGATATATGTACAACGTCACGAAGCACTTTCTTCTGAATCTATTTTACAATCCGTTTCGTGAAAAAAGATTCTTATTCTGCCCGTACGTACGCACAGATGTCATGCAAAAAAGTATCACTCAAACGGATTAGTAAGCAGATATTTTTGTTGAAATATTATACCCGAAATTTTTCGCGATTACAATACTTTTTTTAACTTAGTACAAGGAAGCAATAAGGAAAGTTACTTCATTCAATAACATCAAGCAAACATTTTTAAAAATATTCCTGAGAAATGCAGAATGATAGCAAACTTATTCGTATTGATGTATTCATCACTTGAAATAATTAATAGGAATTTTGAAAAATGCTCGTAATATAAAAGAAAACACGTATAAAAACATACATAAGAATTTGTTTAAACAATTTTTCCCATAATATAGAAACATGTAATTTGCTCATGTATTGTTAGGCAAACATTTTTATTAGTCTCTTCCAACACAGTTAAGGAAATTGATACAAACGTGTACGAAAAGTAGTTGTAATTCAGTAATTGTTTCAAAACAGGCAATCTGCTTTCCAGTTTTTCAAATTAAAAATTTCATTTCGTTCCAACAAATGTAACGAAAGAAAACATTACCTTAAGATACATCCTTGCGCCGTTCTATAGTCAGACAAATAACCGCGAAAATAATATGAAAACTCTCTGTGAAAATAAGATGTCTGTGGTGGATACAAATGAAATAAGCAGGAGCAACTTCATTTACTTTTATTCCATGTATTATTTTCTTGAACAGGTGAAACAACATTGGAATAGATTTCGCTATAAAGAACATAAAAGCTTCTTTTGTTTGCTCTGCACTTTTCTGGAAACTGCTAATCCAAATATTTTCTTTTTTAAGTTGCGAAGATTTTAATTGTTTTCGTCTTCGATATTTCTGGTTTCTTATGTACCATTATTTTCATAGAATTATGTCTATACTTTTACTTATTTTTTACCTTCTCGATTTTAATTTTAAAAATCCCTTCAAAAAACTGAATATTATATTTTAGTATAAAGATGATTAAAATACAGTAAGACCCCGCTTAACGCTGTTTCGTTTAGCGCTGTTTCGGTTTAGCGCTCTTTTATTTCAACCCGGGGATTCCACGAAATCACTCGCAGCATACGGGGGTTCCCCGAAATATTATGCAGCGATAGGTTTCAAATACATATCCGAAAGAGTGTACTTGTGTTTTTTGTTTGGTGCGGTATTGTACAGACATATTTTGAAGGGGTAAATGTGGAAGATGTCGAAGAAATAATTCAAGAAGCAGCGGCTAGCTAGTCTTTCTAATGATGAGCTCAAGGAATTAACTGAACAAGAAGAAAACAAAAATGTTGACAGCAGTGATTCAGAAGAAGAGCAAAAAGAACTTTCGATGGCGTTTGTAAAAAGGAGTTTGTCTACCATAACTGAAATAATGGATCAATTCATTGAAAATGATCCGAATTTTGACAGGAGCTCAAAAGTAAGGCGTGGTGTTAGAGATGCTCTATCCGTTTATGAAGAACTTTTAAGAGAACAACGCAAAAGAAAAAGGCAAACAACATTAGATGCTTTTGTCACAAAAAGGCAGAACACTGAAAACGCGGAAGGCTAACTAAATATGACTGACTTAGAAATTTTATTTTTTTTTTTTTTATTTTTAAGAATATTCGTTTTGTTATTTATATTTTGTTTTTATTTTTGCAAGAAATAATAATGTGGTATTAATTTGGGCTTTAAGAAATAAATGTTTGGTTTTATTTTTATTAAAAAAACATACTTTTTAAATTTAATACCTAACCAATTTCCTAGCCATCTTCCCCTAACCCCAATATTTACATGTAAAGATAGCCTCGTTTAGCGCTGTTTCGCATTACGCTGTACTTTGATGGAACGTATCCCCCGCGTTAAGCGGGGTCTTACTGTATAAAGAAACTGTTGTTGAAATGTTATATGGGAATCGAAAGTACTTATTGTAAAATGATTCATCGCACAAAGTTTTGTCGGGTCATTTAAGAGCAAAGAAGTTATAAAAATCTTGATATCATTTGCATATTTAATATAATGTATAAACTCCGCAATTTTTATGTTACCTTCGTAATATAAACGTTACACTAAATGAATATAAATATATATACCACCCATACGTAAAATATAATTCTTGCATAATAATGTAAAACATTAAGCAAATGTACTTTTCTCCTGTATCTCAGTTTCTTATTTTTTAACTCTATTATTTTGATTAAGAAATATTCCTTTAGCAAAAAAGAAGTCACTGCTATCAATAAACTATAAGGTCTCTGCAGTGGCGCCCGAACTAAAAGGTGGTGGATGATGATCCTCCACCACCAGGATTTGGCGAGTGGGTCCCCTAATCCCTATTCGCCCTTTTAAAGAGTGTGTATATAATGTATTTCTCCCGCCTTCGTAGCATGCCGTGGTGTAGTGGTCAGCCCACTCGACGCGTATTCCCGGTTCGAGTCCCGGCATTGAACATTTTTCATCTCACTTGCTTCGAAACAACCTAATGTCGTAAAAAAACAATAAAGTTCATGTCAGCTTTTAAGAGCATAAATGAGGTAGCATTCTGCAGGAGAAGAGGAGAAAGAATGATATTGTTTGTTTACATTTCCTGAAGTCACGTGATCTTTGAGGTAATCGGAATCTATCTCATTTGTAAGATTCTTAACAGTTATATAAACTACATTTTTTAAAATAATAGTATTGAATTTTTTGCTGAATATAAAGCAACAAATGAGAATTGGAGAGAATATGGTCTTTTGAAACTAAAGAACAGATAGAAATACTTTCAGTTTCTAGTAGTTTCGAAGAATAAATACAAAACGAAAAAGGAAACATAACAAGCAGGAGGTAAACATCACTTCTTAGCATTAACATCAAACACATGCTTTGTAAACTAGTGCTATGTTATCGAAAAATAAATTTGTTTTGAAGTTACTGAATCAATATAATTCCTGATAGTCAATATGTCAATATTATAGCGATTAGTTTCTGTTAAATATGGACTGCGATAAATTTATTATAAGCCTTCGATTAAATGTAAACTTATAATATGATGAAATCCTAAGTTTGCTTTAGACTATTATTTCGGAAATTGCGTCAGCAACCCACGCATGGAAAAGAGACTTAAATGAATCTTAAGCGTTACTTTTAATCGCAAAATAAAAGACTAGATTACAAGACCACTTTAAGAAATGAGCCGAAGTTTTAACCTTTGCGGCACAGTGTGTCCGGGCTGGACACACCTAAAACTTTCCTTCTGTACGCACAGAAAAATTGAATGAAAAAGGATTTGTAGGTTACTATAGGTAACTATGAACCTTCTTTATTTATAGTAGATGGCAGTTCGACACAAATCAGTCCATATATTTTAGCCATGTTTAGTTTAAGACCCTCATTTTTCAAAGAAATCTTACAGATTTTTTTTAGTGTATAAAAGGAATTGTTTGAAAAGAAATTTTTATGTTGTTTTTTTGGCTGTATGCTAATCTCCTTATTCTATATAAGTTTTAAATTTTTACCTTGAAATCTTGCTTAAAATCAAACGGCGAACCCTAGGTGTGGGCACACCGATAATCTAGGACAACTGAGAGTCTGTATTCTTTGTTTCTCCGCATCTCATCGATCAGTTCATTGACAACAATGCTCGTTTCAGCACTCTTTTCAAAGCTCTATTCAATCAGTGTGCCGCTTTGGGTACACCCACAGAATTGAAACGATAAGTGACTTCACAAAAATTTACTTGTGTACTTTGCCTACTTTTTTTTTTTTTAAACAAAAATTGCGACTTTAAAAGGTGACAAGCTGGAAAGGGTTAACACATTCTGCTGTATTTTTCAGTGTTAAATTTTAAGCTGTAGAAGAGCAGAAAATTTAGAAACTGAGTTTATAGAGGCGCTGGAAAATTTCTGCATATGAAGAGAATGGTGAGAAAACATAATTATTCGAACTGCTTTGAATTCATTTGTTTACAACAATAAAAACTATTCTTTCCTAAGATGTTTGTTATAATAGAAGGACAGAAGCACCTTTCATAGACATAATTTTCACATTATTCATCTAGGTAAGATAAGAATAGCATATGAACATTTTGTAGTTCATTAAGTAGTTATTTTTAAAGACATGGAAAATGAACAATGCCTTCGCCGGAACTCTCGAATACGCGCCGAGTGTGCTAACACCACGAAACCAGGTTGGAAGGATGGACTAAGAATTTTTTGGTCAGTTTTAATAAGAATTAGATAGGATAGATTTAAGATGAAATAGATATATATCAGAATATTTGAATATAATATTCAAATACTTTACGATATAGAATCACAAATGATCACACTAACGATGCAGATCATATGCATCCTTAGTATGCATATGATCTGCATCGTTAGTGTGATCATATACCTATGACAGGGGTGGTCAAGCTCCTTGACAGTCCGAGCCATTTTTGAAAATTTGAAATTATTCGCGAGCCGCAATTAAATACGAAATTTAAAAGGTATGCAAAAAAGGTATTAAAATTTTTTTACCGAAATTATATTTATTGAAAACATATAAGTAAAAGTAAAAAATATGTGTATTGAATTTAAATATTTAAGTATTAAAAATTAAACACATTTATTTTACTTTTTTTGGTAATTCTTTAAAATTTGGTGAAAAATTGGTGTCAAAACTTCTCAGTAATTCTTTGAGATGCTGGTTTGTTAATACTGATCGATGTTTGGATTTCACGAATTTTAAAGTGGAATAAAATGATTTACATAAGTAACTTGTTCCGAATATTGAAATAATTTGACAAGCAGCCTTTTTTAATTCAGGATAATTCGAATTCTGGTACAAATTTTCAAAATTCAGTAATCGCCGTCGATTTATATTTTAATTGTAGAGTTTGATCTTCTTGTATCTCTATTAATTCTAGTTCTCCAGATGCGTTTTGGGTCATAATTTTATTGGAAATGGAAACCTCACCTAGAATTATGTCAATTTCAAGTGGATTCAGAAAAAAACCAAGATACGACGGACGGAAATGAAATTTGTTATAACGTTGCGCTTAGTCTTTCGTATTTGTTGTCTGTAATTTAAAAGACATTCTGAAACACGTACGGAAGGATAATAATTTTTTTAAAATATAATAACACAGAAATGAAAATGGAACTGGGGTACATTTATCGAAAGCCATAAATAATCCTTCAAAAAGGCGCATGTGGCTCGCGAGCCGCAGGTTGGCCACCCCTGGCATATGACATTTTCTTTTTCGTAATCGATATGTTTGTTCGATTATCTGTACGCTGCATTTATAGGTCCATTTAATAAAAATGAGATATATGACTAAAACTGACAACAGAAAGCTATTTCATACAGTTTATGTTAACTAATATTACACACACAGACCTTATTATATTGCTTTTACGTTTATTTCTATCCAAATGAAAATTATTTAATACATTTAAGCGCAAAGTTCTTGAGTTCACCAGCGAGACACAGCAGTTGGAAGCAATGGTACCCAGTTATCAGTTACTTCCTGACACTGATTTTAATTGATGAAATGGTTAAGCTTTACTAGCCGTATCTGCTTCATGAAAATGTTGAAGATTGAATCAAAGCTTATAAGGTATTTCTCCAATTTCCGTAGCGGGCCTTCGTGGTGTAGTGGTTCTGCACACTGAGCCGGTATTTCAGATGTCCGTGGTTCGATTCCCGGCGAAGGCGGCTGCATATTTTTTACCTTTTCTGCTTCCAATTAACCTAACGACT